GCACTGCCTCCTGCAGGCCTTGCACGCCTATAAGCGCCTGTTTCAGACAGGCGGCGCCGAGCCGATCGACGAAGCCTCGTGGTTGCATCCTTACGTGGCCGCCGTCGAGCCCGAGGCTATCCCCGCGGGCGCTGACCTCCAAGCCATGGGGGCGGGCGCCATCCGTGGCATCGGGCTCGGCTCAAAGATCGAGCACAGGAGGCGCGCGGGCAAGTTGGCCTGCCTTTTCGACCTTCTGTACCACGTGCAGGACGGTCACGGCGCCATCCCAGCAGCGCTGTGGGGATCTCATTCCCCTCCGTCCGAGATCCTCGACGCGTTCGCGGAGGTGGTGCCCGTTCCACATCATTCGGGCCTCACGTCCTCGGCAGCTCGTTCCGAGCTCGCCGAATCGGCCGCAGCTGCGCGCGCCGAGCCGCGCCCGCCCTTTGACTGGGCGACCCTCGAGGGAAGGGGCGCTCTGCCCGCCGAGATCGAAGCAGGGGCTCGCCGTGCTCACCGTAACATGGGCGGATCCTTCACCTCGGCGCGGGCGATGCTGGCGGAGGCGTCGGGGTTCGAGACCGACGGGCGGGACACCCTCGTTCCGCCCTTCTACGCGTCCAGGAGCAGGAGGGCCGCCACGCTGATCAGCTCTCCCAGCCCTGGCCGCCCTGCGCTCATCCTGTGGTGCGTCTGCGGCCTCTGCATCTCTCTGGGAGCCGCGGCGCCGACCGCAGGCCAAGGGCTTAGTCGGGCTGCGCCTTCCGCGCCCGCTCGCCCTCCGCGCACTCCCTTCGTGCGCGATTCTCACCTCACCTCCGCGTATCTCGATCGTCGCTCGAGATCGATTGATGCGTTCGAACTGTGGTTAGCAGAACACACTGGCGTGCCGCCCGCCACTCTTTACCGTAGCGGGATACTTCTCGCCCGCTTCCTCGCGACCTTCGGCGTGTGGCTTCATGATGCAGGTTTCCCTCATTATATTCTGGTTCATGCCATCTTGGGAATCCAGAGCGCTCATCCGCATTGGAAGGCCTTTCTAACAGAAGCTTGGGACGTAGCGAAACAATGGAAGCTCGCGGAGCCGCCAAAGCTCCGCCCGCCCTTACCTCGCGCTCTGCTGCGCGCTATGGTCGGTCTCTGTTTCGCCTGGGACTGGCCTGTGATGGCGGCCTTGCTGCTCATGGGCTTTACGATGTTCCTCAGGCCTGGCGAGCTGCTGGCGTCACGCCGCTGTGACTTGTCGCTTCCTTGCGACCGCCTCGAAGTTGAAGGGGATGCTTTTCTTTCGATTCTTGTTCCAAAGACCAGGAGAACGTACCCGACGCAGCATGCTCGCTGCTCCGATCGGGGCACGGTGAAGATTCTGAATCAAGTGTTTGGGCGGTTGGCTTCCACCGATCCTCTCGCCCCTTTCGGTGCGAGCGGCTTCCGTACTCGGTGGAATCATTTGCTTTCGGCCCTGGGCGTCCCTCTTGCCAAAGCGGGTCAGGGGCTCAACCTGACGCCCGCATGTCTGCGGGGCTCTGGCGCAACAGACTTCTATATCGCTACGGAAGACGTCCCTCGCGTCTTCTGGCGGGGGCGTTGGCGTCAGGCTTCCAGTGCTGAGCGCTACCTGCAAGCCGCCGCCGCTTCCACAGTTCTTGCTGCGCTGCCCGTGCCCGCACGGGCGCGGATCCTGTTCTTCGCCACCGCCAGCGACCGCCTTGTCGCTTCATTTCTCCAAGTCGGCCCCGCCGCTTGGCCTGCCCTACTTGCGGCCGCCCGCCGAAACCTTGTCACTTCGCAAGGTCCTTGAGCACGGGTATGGCTGCCTCGCCGTCGTCGGCGAGCAGGCGGTCTCCCCCGCCTGACGCGCGGCGCCCCGGCACGAGCGCGCGGGACGGGCCTGCCCATTTTGGGCCGCCCCGCGCGCGCGAGCCGCGGCCGCGCTCGGAGACAGCTCGCTAGCGCGCGAGCGGGAGAATGCCTCTTCTATTCTCTGTGAGCAAGCTCCTGCTGTCTCCGCAGCTTCTCTGCCCCCCTCCCTCCTCTCCCAATCTAAGGCTGATGGGCGCTGCCTCGCCGTCGTCGGCGAGCAGGCGGTCTCCCCCGCCTGACGCGCGGCGCCCCGGCACGAGCGCGCGGGACGGGCCTGCCCATTTTGGGCCGCCCCGCGCGCGCGAGCCGCGGCCGCGCTCGGAGACAGCTCGCTAGCGCGCGAGCGGGAGAAAAACTATGACGAGGGAGGTGATCGGAACGCCTGGGGCCGCGGACTTGACAAGATCGGATCGGCGGGCATCTGCGTCCCCGCGCGCGCTCGCGCGCCCATCCGGCTTTCGGATCCTGCTCGGCACGGGGTGTGCAGCAGTCGCGGCGGAGGGCAGCTTTTGCCATGATGGCTGCTGGTCGTGACCTCTCCTCGGCGTCACCCGAACATACTAACGCCAGGTGTGGGTCGCCCCCAAAGGGGCGACGCTCGCGCTCAGACATCTTAATGGTATGTGCTCGGTGGCAGGCACTTTCTGGCCATACCGCTGGGGTCACGACATGCTGTCTGCAACATTGTTGTACTGTACGATCTGGTCAGGCGCACGCCTCCAAGGAGGACACAGGGGAAAGAGCGCGCTCGTGGCACACTCTTGACTAAAAAGGGGGGCCCCAGCTTCCAGTTACCCCGCCCCCCCCTCCTTGGAAAATGGGGGGGGGGTCTTCCGAAACTCCCCCCCTCCCTTCTGTGGGGATTCTTTTTGCTGGGGGTCCCCCCCTGGCTAAGGGGGAGGGGTGGCTTGGAAGCTATAGCCCCCCCACTTTTCGAGGTCAGCCCGGGCTCCCCTTTCAGAGGGGGGGGTGCTTCCGAAGCTGCCCTTCAGTCGGGCCTGTCCTTCTGCAGGAGCGAAATTCAAAAATAGTCAAAAAATAGTCTGGGGACGACGTTTGGAAGTTTTTTTCTTTATTTCAGGGTATTTGTTTGGTATGGGGACAGGCCCGACTTAGAACCCGCCCCCCCCCGTCCTGTCGCGCTTCTCGACGCCGTTGCGGCGGCCAGACCGCCGATCCCAGGAGTTTTTGCGCGGACCGCCGCTCGGGGGGCGCCAACCGTACACCCACGCCGGTCCTGGCCAGGCCGGCCGGTGGGCCCAGGATCGGTATATATAGTATATACGTTTTTTTATATATAAGTATGTCTGTACACATTTATACGTAGGTATATGTATATACATATATATATATTGTTGTGTACATGTATGTGTGTATGTGTGTATGTGTGAATGTGTGTATGTGTGTATGTGTATGTGTATGTGTATGTGTATGTGTATGTGTACGTGTATGTGTATGTGTATGTGTGTATGTGTGTGTATGTGTGTATGTGTGTATGTGTGTATGTGTGTATGTGTATTTGTGTGTATGTGTGTATGTGTGCATGTGTGCATGTGTGTATGTGTTTATGTGTGTATGTGTGTATGTGTGTATGTGTGTGTATGTGTGTATGTGTATGAATGTATGTATGCATGCATGCATGTATGCATGCATGCATGTATGCATGCATGCATGTATGTATACATGTATGTCTGTATGTACGTACGTACGCAGTACGTATGTATGAATGTATGCATGTATATATGTGTGTACATGTATGTACATGTATGTACATGTGTGTATGTATGTACAAATGTATGTATGTATATATGCATGCATGCATGCATGCATGCATGTATGTATGTATATACGTATGTATGTATGTATGCATTTATGTATGTATGTATGTATGTATGTATGTATGCAGGTATGTATGTATGTATGTATGTGTGTATGTATGTATGTATGTATGTATGTATGTATGTATGTATGCATGTATGTATGTATGTATGTATGTATGTATGTATGTTTGTATGCATGCATGTATGTATGTATGTATGTATATATATATATATATATATTTATGTATCTATGTATGCTTGTATGTGTGTATGTATGTATGCATGCATGTATGTATGTATGCATGTATGGATGTATGCATGTATGTATGTATGCGTGCATACATGCATGCATATCTATATATATATATGTATGCGTGTGTGTGTGTTCTTTGCTGCCAAGCTGGTGAGACCCGACGCCGCAAACCAAGACATCATAGTTCCGGAACAAAAAACACGACTTGGAGCCCCGGGCCCCAGCTTTCTGCTCCACTTGCGGAGCCCGCTGCAGCGACCACCCGCTGCCCCTTGCACCGTGAGGCACCTGCGTGCCCCACGCGCCTGCCCTCTCAGGAGGACCGCCCCTCGGGGCCAGAGTGCGGGCTTGTCTTGTCTTGCCTTCTGCGCTCGCGTCCGCCTTCGTGCGTAGCTGTTTCGGCTCGGTCTTCAGAGGTTCGCTCGAAGAGGAAAGAGCAGCAGAAGCATACGCTTTCGGAGGTCCGCGTCGATTTCTTGGATCGGCGCTTCACCCCCCTCCCTCTCGCGCGGAGCGCGCCAGTCCTCAGGGGCGGCGCCGGAGGCGCCGCTAGGGGGGGCTCCAGTGCAGGTCCCACGAATCCGCGCGGACCTCCGAAAGTTCATGTTCCTGATGTATTGCTAAGGCCTTACGGCCGGTGCCGCCGACCCTGAAGACGACGACGACGAATACGTGGAGGAGGAGGAGGAGGGGGAGTCAGGTGGAGGGGAGAAGGAGCAGGTGAAGGAGATGTTCCCCCATGTGGGCCGAGGGAGCCGTAGCAGAGACAGACAGGGAGCCTTGTGGCCTGCGGCCCTTCCCGCCACCGTGCTGGAGGGAGTCGGTCCTCGTGCTCCCTGGGGTGTCCGTGGAGACCGAGGCCAAGTGCGGCCTTGTCTCAGTGCCCGCGGTCCCACGTGCTCCCGAAGGTTCTTGGATACCCCCCAGGTGCTCCAGGGCCCATGCGGAGGGCCCGGTACGTGCGGCCCTCCAGCGACGCGCGCAGAGCGCGCCGTGCGAGCCCGCGGGGCTGCCCACGGCGAGCTCAGAGCTCGGAGGCTGCTCAGAGGTGCTGTGCGCCGCCCACGTCCGCCTTCGTCCGTAGCCGTTTCGGCCCGGGTCTCCGCGGCTCGGCCCAGCCCCTGGGCGGGCGAGCCTGAGCCTCCCGGCGGCGGCCCGGGCCGCCATGGCGGCCCCTCCGCGCGGGGCCGCCCAGGGCGGCGCTGTGGCCAGGGAGCCCCTGCTCGAGGAGGACGAGGGCGCCTGGAAGGCGCCCATCTGGCAGAAGCAGCTGGAGCGGAAGACGATCATGGCCGCCCACGAGGACGGCCCCCTCAGCGCCGCGAAGCGAGAGGGCTACCTCCAGAAGCGAGCGGGGACGTCGCACCTGCGCTGGAACATCCGGTTCTTCGAGGTCAAGGACGGCAGTATACGCTGGTGGCGGCCGGCGTTCAAGGACCAGCTCTTCCAGTCCAAAAAGGGGCCGATGGTCGCCATGGCGGAGCCCCGTCCGCCTCCGGTGAAAGAGCTTGACCTCAGGCAGCTGAAGTGCGTTATCAGGACCAAGGTGAAGTTTCCTTACTCCACACGCATCGCTCTGAAGTTCCAGGAGGACTACACCGACTACCAGCTAGAGCTGCGCGCGGAGAAGGAGCTGGAGATCATCGAGTGGTACAAACTCTTCCTGCGCTTCACCATGGAGTCCTTCGAGGCCTTGCTGGCCGAAGGGCCTTGGCCCGGCCGACCACGGGGGCCGGAGACGGCAATGGGGGCCGGGACGGACTCGTGCAGGGTGCGCCCCCGGATGCGCGGGGAAGATATGGGGGACCCGAGGGGGCCAGTCCTCCCACGTCACCCAGTCAGTTTTGGGCTTCGCCACCCAGTCCCAGACGAGCTCGTGGTGTGGAAAAACAATTCAGGATGGGAGTTTTTTGTTTTTTGTTTTTGTTTGGGGGCCTCTGGGGGGCCCTGCCAGGCCCCAGGACCGTCCACAACACGACTCGGGACGAAGAACTGGACCCGTGGAAAGGGTTGGGTCTTCGGGAACCCCGTACAGTGGAAACCCATGCCAGCCAAGAAACACCCTGCTTGCCTCCAGGGTGCCATGGTGCTCTTGGGTTTCGATGCTTTTTTTGCGATGGAATGCGTGACGTTCCCACCAACAAATTGATGGACGTCCTGGGGTCTCAGGGTTGGGCTTCTTGTGGAAGGTTTCTTGTGATCGAGCTCACACTGTGCTGAAGAAGTCGGGACATCGCACGTCTGGGGTTGGTACAGCCAGGCTGGCCACGCCAGAGGGGCTGCAGACACTCGGGCCTGAAGGCTGCCAGTCGCCCCCGTCCTTTTGGAGACCCTTCCTGCCCCTGTGACGCTTCCGTAAACCCATGCCCGGGTTCTTCTTATCGCCGCTGGCACTCTTGGGAAAATATGTTTTTCCTTCACAGCCGCTGGCAAGAACCATCGGTTACATGCCCCCCCTGTTGTCAGCAGGTGGTCGATAGTTATCTGTATCCCCCGTTCAGATCCTCTTCCCAGTTCCCTTCCCCCTTCTATCCCTCTGCTTGCGCCCTCCACCAACGCTGGTCTTCTCCATATCCCATGTCTTTTGCCACCATCCCTCTCGCTCATGTTACCAGGCTACCCGCCCTATCCTCCCCACATGGTCCACGTGCCGTTTGCTATGCACAGACTTGCATCATAAAGAAGGGCACCGAAGCCAGCCCCTCCAGAACTTCCAACATCGCCTTCAACAAGTGTTTTTTTTGTTCGTTTGTTTTTTTTGAAAGTTCTGGAGGGCCCCCCTTTTCCTCATCCTCCTCCTCCTGTCCTCCTCCTCCTCCTCCTGTCCGCTCCCTGATGCCCCTCCTCGTCCCTGCACCCCCGTCCGCACTTGCCGCGACTGGCTCCTCGCATGCCTGAGGCAGGCTCTCGCTCCACGCGGCCGCCAGTCGCCCCCCGTCCTCTCGGAGACGCCTCCTGCCCCCCGTGCCGCCTCGGAAATCCACGCCCAGGTAGCCATCGGTCGTTGAAAGTAGGTACTTTGGGATTCCCAGGTTCCAATCTACTTTAGGCGCCTTCCTACTTCAATGATCGAGTGGCTTCACCTCTTCCGCGTCCTCCTTAGGGGGCGGGCGGACACCCAATCTATGTTCAACGCCTTCCTACTTCATGTTTCTACCTGCTTCTTCCGACCGATGGGTAGCTCGTTACCACCGCTGGCACTCTGGGAGGACCTAAGCCTGCAGCGCGCTTGGTGTTATCCTGTCCGCGCCCTCCTCCCAGCCTCTCTGGCGGGTCCTGCCTCTGGCTTCCCTGCCCGCTCCCACATCATCCTTGGCCATCCGGCTACCCCATCGATTGGGCACCCACCTACGCCCCGTCACACTGAAAGCCCGCTGATCCCGCTGCCGCTCTCGCTCCATTTGTCGGGTCGCTCGTCCATCTTGCCTTCGGTCGTAACGATTGTGACAGTAAACCTACCCAGCACTTTATGTCGTCGTTCCCAATTTCTCGTGCATCACTCTTTTTGCTCATCCTTCTCTCTCCCTCTCTCTCCCTGTCCCCCGCTGCTGCTTTTTCCACCATCGCAGTCCTCTCCGCTACCCGATATCCCACGTGCATTTCCCCACCCAAGGTTCTCGCTGGAGACCCCAGCGCAGTCGCTCAGCTTGCGACCCTTTCATTCCCACTGTTTGGCCGCCTTTTCTGGCCCCTCGGGCAGGGGCAGCACGCGAGACCCTCTCGGTTGGTGGCCGCTACTCCCATCCCCCCCTGTCGGGGGCATCAGACACCACCGAGGAGTGGCGCTCTTCACGGCGCCACCCCTTGCAGGGACCGACCACCCTTAAGGCTACGTGTTCCGCCAGTCTCCTCCTCCTGCTCCTGCTCCTGCTCCTGCTCCTGCTCCTGCTCCTGCTCCTCCTCCGTCGCCGCTTTTTACCCTGTCCCGTCGCCGTTTCTGTTCCCGTTCGGGCTCCGATTCTGGCACAGCTTTTCGCCAGCCTTGGCGCGAAGTGTTTCTGGCTTTCTGCATGGTCAGGGGCCGCATCTGGAGTACTCGAGATCCGACGTTGGCGAAGCAAGAGCGCGTCGTTGCAAAAATATGACGGCCGGAGCCCTGGACCCTATCTCTCTGCGCCATTTTTCCTCTAGCCCGGTAGATCTCTGAGGGCATCGGCCCTCGAAACCAGGTGAGCACGGTCGGTATCCAGGAGGGACAAAAAACGCACAGACACGATTAATCGTCGATTCCCCAGAAGATATGGGAAAATATGGGAAGTGGGGGGAAGACAAAACCCCCCCAAAATATTGGGAAACATGGGGCATCTGGTTCTTTGTGTGTATTTTTGATTTGCGTGTCCCAGGGCCCCCTTCTGGTATGCAAGACAAGCGTCGTCCAGGGTGCAGTCGGCGGTGAGAGTGCGGGGCCAAGGCGTGTGCACCCTCCCCGCCTCCCGCGCCCCCTGCTGGGGATAGAGTACATCTGGGCGGTCGGGCTCGGTGCATCTGCCGAAAATCGGAGGCGAGCGAGGGGGGGAAATGAGAAGGAGAAGGCCTTCTCAGAAGGCGGCGGGGCTTCTCAGAAGGCCTCCGGCCTTCCGAAAAGTTTTTTCCGTCCTCGGGCAAGGCTTGGAAAACTTCTCAGAAGTCCCGGGAATTTCCGAGCCTTCTGAGAAGGCCTTCTCCTTCTCACTTCCCCCCTGGGCGCGCCGCCTAGACAAAGCCCCCTGACCCTTCATGTTCTTGGCTCTTCCGGGCCCCTCCTGGAGGGCCCGGGGCCCTTTGGTTGCTGATCTCAAGTCGGGCCCGCCCCTCTACAGGAGGAATACTCCAAGAGAATCAAAACACTGTCCGGGACTGTTTTTGAGCATTCGTCGGCCACCTTTGGGGCATTCTTGGGGTATTTTAAGTTTTCGTCCAAACTCGGCCTGCAGAGGGGGGACAGGCCCGACTCAATGCTGAGCCTTCTTGGCGCCCGCAGGGGGAGGAGACCCGGCCCTGCCGCTCCTGGGGCCCCGCGGGCACCAGCAGGGGCCTCCTCGGCGCCCGGGCAGTCGCGCCCCGCTCGCCCGGAGCCGGGCGTGCCCCCTCCTGCGGGAGGAGCCGTCAGGAGGAGAGTCCGAAAGTCGTCCGGGGACGACTTTTGACTCGTGGATTTTTTTTTGTTGTTGTTTGTGTTTTTTTATTATTCATTTTTTTCAGATTTTTCGTTAGGATTTTGGATTTGTCTGCGGGAGGAGCCGTCAGAGAGAGTCAGAGAAAGTCGTCCGGGGACGAATTTTGACTCGTGGATTTTCGTTTTTTTTTGGGGGGGGGATTTCTCAATTTTTCGTCAGGATTTTGGGTTTGCCTGCTGTGTCGGTTTTTTTTGGGGGGGTTATTTTCGATTTCTCGTCCAAAAGCCGCCTGCAGGGGGACGCGCCCGACCCAACACTAGACGGGGGCCTCGGCGCCTGGGTGGTCGAGTCCCTCTCGCGGCACGTCTGGCCGCCCCCCCCCCCCCGGTGAGTCCCAGCTGCCCCGCCGGGTCTCCTGCGCCGAGCCCCGAGTCCAGGTCCAGGGCCCCCCCCAGCGTGCCGAGTCGTTGTGTGGTCAAGTCGGGGCTGTCCCTCTACAGGAGGAGTATTCAGAGGTAGAAAGAGTAGGCTGGGGATTTTTTTTTTGCGTGTCCATCTTCGATTTTTTGGGGGCATTTTCTGGTATTTTCTATGCTTCGTCCAAAATCCGCCTGTAGGGGGACACGCCCGACCTAATTGTGTGGCCCTTTCCCAGGAGGGTTCGAGTCGTGACAAGCATCAGGACGGGAGGTCTTTTTCGCAGTGTTCGGCCGCTGGGGGCCCTCGCCGAGCATTGGAGCGGGGAAGAAAGGACTCGGGATGAAGCGGGTCGGGGCTCCTGGAAAAAATCAGGAAGTCGCATGTCTCGGTCATGAGAGCTTTACGGGGTTCCAAATTCCTGGCGGTTTGGGGGATTTCGTCCAGGTGTCGAATCGTGTCGGCATCTGGACGAGATCTGGACGAAATCTGGACGAAAGGGTCAAGAGAGCTGGTCAAAATGTAGAGGACATCTGGCCGAAATCACGTTTATGATAGGGCTGCGGTGGTCCAGAGGCTCCCATGAAGGCTTACCAATCAAGGGAGGAAATACCACCCGGCCCCATAATTGGCGTTTTCCAGGCGGCCCTGGGCTGAACTAAACAGCCCTTTCCTGTTCGACTCCCTCCTATTGGGTGCGTTTGCTGAACGGCTTCGCTTGTCGTGTTTTTTTTTTTTTTTTTTTTTTTTTTTTTTTTTTTTTTTTTTTTTTTTTTTTTTTTTTTTTTTTTCCAACCGAGATCCAGCCGTAGGGTTTCGGATGGCCAACTCCTGGGGCTCTTGTAGGGTCGGGGACCTCGCGCTCCTCCAGGCCCAGACCCCCGACGCTCTCGCGGCGTGGACCCCCGAGAAGTCTGGCCCCGTCCCCCGCGGCCAGCTTTTCCATCCCGAGTAAGTTTGCTGCTGGTGCCGGCAAGGGCCCCGAATACCGCCACCAGTCTTAGGTCGGGCGCGTCCCCCTACAGGCGGATTTTGGACGAAGCATAACAGATATACCAGAATTGTCAAACATATTATTAAAAACAAATCGTCCCTATTTGTGTGAAAATTCCTCCTGTAGAGGCACAGGCCCGACTCGACACCAGCTTCCCGTCGCGTTTTGTCACGACGCGAGTGGCGTCTGGGGAGAAGATGCGGAGTCCCCCCCGCCCCGAGCAGAGGTCGGCGGCGCGCCCAGGGGGAGAGACAGAGTGGGCGGGCCCTCTCGGGAGGCCCCGACGGCCTCCGGCCTTCCGAGAAGAGCCCGCGGAGCTCTCTTTCCGAAGCCACATAGAGGCGCTCTGCCGAGAAGGCCCGCCCCTTGAGCAGGCCTGCCCCCTCTCACTTTTCCCCCCTTTCTGAGGTCCGACGCTTCGAAGGCCTAGAGGTTGACACCAACACCAAGATCGGCGGTGTGCCCCCATCCCCAGCTCCATCCCCACCCCGGGACCCCCACCAGATCACCCACCCCGGCTGGGGACACGCCCCTCGAGACCCGAAGGGAACGGCCCAGAGCCCCATCCAGTCACCACCCACCAAACCACCCCAACCCAACCCGAAGGCTCAGATTTACCCTCGATTTCCAGTGGGGGGGGGTCGGGAAACATCGAAGAAACACATGTGGAACCCTTACCCCCCCCAACCCGAAATTCGGGTCTTCGGGTTGGGTTGGGGTGGTCTGGTAGGTAGTCATCCAGGGGGGCAGGATTGCCCAGTGGGGCCCAGGCCACGCCGCGCTGCCCGTGCTCCCCTGCGGCGGACGCGGCTCCCTCGACGCCTTCGCGGGCCCTCTCGGGGCCTGCGACCCGCTGCGAGCCCAGACTCGCGTCGGGCACGTCCTCCTACAGGAGGAGTACCTCGGAGGCCCAGAGGTTGACACCAACACCAATCTCGGCGGTGTGCCCCCACCGGGGGAAGAGGATCCCGATCTCGGTGGTGGTGGTAATATTCTGGCTTCCGAGGTGGCCGAAGTATATTACCACCAACACCGAACTCCAGGAGCGTCTTCCCCCCGTGGAGGCAGCCCCCTTGTGTTGGTGTCGGTGCCCATTTCCGGGCCTCCCAGTACCTTCCAAGAGTCCACAACACAACATCTGGGGACGGGGCTCGGAGACGCGGTGCCCCCCTCCCCCCCCGCGGGCCTGCGGCCGCCGGGCCGGCCGCCAGGTCGAGGCCGAGGCCGAGGCGGAGCCCGCCGGCGGGCCCGCCGACGGCGACAGCGACAGCGACCGCGAGGCCCGGAGGAGGAAAGGGCGCTCCTGACGTCGGGCCCGTCCCTTTTTACAGGGGGAGCGTTCGTCTGACACAAGTCAAGAAATAGCCTGGGGACGAGGTCTTGACCTTCTGGATGATTTTTTTTTTGGAGCATGTTGTGGGTACTCTGAACTCTTCGTCCGAAATGCTCCCGTAGGGGGGACACGCCCGTCCTTCGGTTCTCCGAGTGTCTTAAGAAGCGTCGGGGGGGCGTCACCCCCGCCGACAGCCCCACATCGACCCCCGTCGCGGGGGGCAGCCACCGCGTCCCGAGAAGGCGCTCCGACCCCCGGTCTCGGCGCGACGACGAGGCGAGGCTGACCCCCGTCGGGGGGGTACCCCCCCACGCTTATTAAGACACCCAGAGTATGGACTGGAGTCACCAAGCCGGGTCTGCCGTAGCTGGTTCTCCTGCGCGCGGTTCCGTTTCGTGGAAGGGTGCGGGGGGGAGGCCCCCTGCACACATCACCAGACCAGGCCCCACGGAACCCAGCCCCGCCAGGGCACGACAAAACACCCGAGACCCCGGCGCCCTGCATGTTTTTTTGAGCCCGGCATCTTCGCCCTGACTCGGGCCCCGGGTCGATCCCAGGTCGATTCGGGTCGGGCGAAAGGGGGGGATTGGGAAAGGGGGGGTTACGAAATTTGCTGCATGCAGCTGGTTTCGGCCTCACCGAGGGGCCCATTCCTCGATACATAGCTCCATCCGGCGCCGGGAGGCGCCGCGAAAATCAGCTACGTGAGCTGATTCTCAAACCCCCCCTTTGCTATCCCCCCCTTTCGCCCGACCCGATCGATGCGGCTCTCGAGAGGTGGCGCAGAGAGAAGTGGGGCCCAGGGTGGTGCGCTTTTTCGCGGTGTCTCTCGGCTTTTGCGCGCCGTCGGCTCTCAGGGAACGGCGTAAACATAGACCCGCGGAGCTCCGGGCGGATCTCTTGGAGCTGTGCGCTGGGCCCCCCTGGCGGCGCCTCCAGGGCCGCCCCTGGCGCGCTTGGGGAACGGGAGCCCAGCGCCGCTCCAGCAGCTCTGCGCGGACCTCCGACAGGTTAGGTTTCTCGCGCTTCCCTGAGATCCGACGTGGCGAAAACACTACAGCGTCGTGAAAAGTCACTCAGGAGGGGAAAAAACACACAGACACAATTAATCGTCGATCCCCAGGAAAATATAGGAAAATATGGGAAGTGGTGGGGAAGACAAAAAACCCAGAAAATATGGGAAAATATAGGGAATCCTTTTATTTGTGTGTATTTATTTGTGTGTCCCAGTTTCCCTTTAGAGATCCGACGTGGCGAAAACACTACAGCGTCGTGAAAAGCCACGCCCGCAGCCAGAGACCCCCCCCCCTTCTGCGCCAGCCCTCGAGCCCGATCGCTCTGCGAGGGTCCTGGGGCCCGAGGGTGGAGCGACAGCGCGCCCCGGCTCGGCAAGCCCGCCACGCCACGCTCGCAGGCTCCCTCTCTCGGGGAGCAACAAGTGGCATAAGCATAAAAACTCGGAGGTCCGCGCGGATTTCTCGGATCGGCGCGGGAACCCCCCCCTGGTGCGCGGAGCGCGCCAGGGGCGGCGCCGGAGGCGCCGCCAGGGGGGCCCCAGCGCCGATCCGAGAAATCCGCGCGGGCCTCCGAGCTTTCATGTTTATGCCACTTCTTGTTCCCCTGCTCTCCCTCCAGAGGTGGCCGCGGCGGCGGCGGGCAGCATGCTGTCCGCGGGGCTGGTGCGGGCCAAGGACGGCGGTGCGCTGCAGCAGCCGGCCGCGCGCCCCGCCGGTGGCCCGGCGCCGGCCGCGGCGGCGCCCGCGAGGGGCGCCGCCGCCGCCGCGCCGGCGGCCGCGCGGCCGCCCGGCTCGAGCCTCGGAGGCGGCGAGGGGGGCCCAGCTTTTTTTTTGTTTTGTTTTTGTTTTATTATTATTGATATTATATATTATTATTATTATTATTATTATTATTTTATTATTATTATATTATTATTATTATTATTATATATACATATACGTTATTATTATTATTATTAGAATTAGTATTAGTATTAGTATTAGTATTATTATCACTATTATTATTATTATTACTATTATTATTATTATCATTATTATTATTATTATTATTATTATTATTATTATTATTATTATTATTATTATTATTATTTTTTACATATAAAACTATAACACATATTGTATGTACTATCTTTGTGTATACATGCACACTAATCAAGGGATCAACAAAGAGACAAAGCGTGAAAAACAGCAAACGCCCCAGATCTCCGCGCGCCGTGAAGCCACATTCACGGCGGGAGGGCTTCCGCCGTGTTCGGCCTCGGGAGGCCTCGGGGCCGACAGAAAGAACGACTCCACTCCGGATGAAGAGAAACCGCTCCCGGGGACGGGGTCCAGACCTTTGGGGGTCGAAGCTGCGAACAAGAGCACGACGGCGGGGGGGCCTGGGAGGGTCGAAGGCGCAGGCAGAGGGGGGCAAAAAGCGGAGTTAAGTCGGGCCCGTCCCTCTACAGGAGGAGCATTCAGAAATAGTCAACAAATAGTCCGGGGACGTTTTTTTGATGGAATATTCTCTGAATATCTTTGGACCATGTTTAGTTCTTCGGCTAAAATCCCCCTGTAGGGGGACAGGCCCGACCTGAAAGTGGAGAGAGGTCGACTGCGACCCCATCCCCGTGTGGCTCCGCGAGGGGCTCGCACCTCTTGCCAGGCTCGGCTCGACAGATTTCTGGTATCTCTCGACCTCCCGGGGCCCTCCACGGGCCCCGGGGGACGTTGTCGAGGCCTCCGGTAGACCAGGCGTCGAAGACGTTGGAAAAAGCCCACCCGCAGATCTGGGCGTGGCATTCTCTTCACGACGGGCGGTTTCGCTGTTTGGCGGGCCCCAGGTCATTCACACACGCAGAGAGCGGTCCGGCTCGAAGAGTGGCGCGGGAGGATGGGGTCCAGGGCTGCCGTCGTGATTTTTCGCAGTTTTTTTTTTTTTTTTTGTTTCTCGTTTTTTTGTTTGTTTTTTGTTTTTTTTCAGTTTTTGTTTTGTTTTTGTTTTCTGGGAGGGGGCGGGGCAGCGTCGAAGCACAGCGCAGGGGGGGAGCAGCACGTGCCTCCAGGGGCGCCGACGGTCCGTGCCTTCGGCGAGGGGCGCTCGGGCGCGTGCGGCCGGTGCCCGCCCCGAGGCGCGGGCGCCCCCGGCCCTCTCTCGGCCACCCCCGCGGGGGCCGGGCCTTTCGCTCCTCCCGGGTCGCTCTCGGATCGGGGGTGGACAGACCTCCCACCCTGGGGAGAGCGCGGGCCCCCCCCAGGGGAGAGCTGCTCGCTCCTGGCTGCCCGCCCAGCACGGCCCCCCCCCCCCCCCAGAGGAGAGCGCGGGCAGGCACTCCCCCCGCCCCCCAGGCAGCCGACGTCCTGATGATTTTTTTCTCAATGCTCGAATCGGAGATCGGCCACAGAATTGTCGGAGGACACGTCGATTAAGGAAGTGGCCGTTTTCGGTTCGCGAGAGGGCGTCGCGGCCGTCGCTTTTTGCGGGTCCAGGTCCGTCGGTGTCGGTCCCAGGCCGTTTTCACTAAGGGGAGGTCTACTAAACGGAGGTTTGTCCACCGCCGATTGGGCGGCCTCTGGGGGCCTGGCAGGGGCCCCCGGAGGCCGAAGACGGCGAGAAGCCTCCCGACGTGATTTTCGTGACTGGAGGAGGGGGCTCGAGTCGGGGGCCGACCACGGAGAGTTGGTCTGGCCCCCAAGTTCGTGTTCCCCATCGACTCCACGCCGAGTGCGCAGAACGTTCGTCGACCTGCTGAGAGCTCGGGGCATCTCTCCGTGGACTCGACGAGGAAGCTGACTTGTGGGCAGACCAACCCTGTCGCCGATCCCCTAATGACTCGAAGGGGGCCAGGGCTGGGCTGCTCGCCTCCCGTCGTCGCCTCCGATAGCCCGACCTACCACCCCGGCAAGGGCAGCAGTCTGCTGGCCCAGGGGCTGCAGCCCGAGGCCGGCGGACCGGGGCCGCGCTGAGCGGCCCGGAGGCCGAGAAGGCCGGCGGCGGGCGCGGCTGCGGCGGCGCTGCGCTCGGCAGGTCTGGCGCGGGCGGGGTCCCCAGGCGCCCTCGCGTCGGGGCAAAGGTCACGACCGGAGGTTTTTCACGATCTTCGGCCCCTCGGGGCCCTCGCCGGGCCGCGGGCCCGTCCAGAAAAACGGCTCAGGATGAGACACCGGTCCTGGGGAACAGGTCCAGTCCTTTGGGCGCAGACGCTCTGAGCAGATCATGACGTCGGGGGTCTGGGACCTGGCGTCGGGCGGCGAGAACTGTTCGATACCTGCCTGAGCTCCTGGCGCCTCAGTCTTGGCGTCTTCGCCAGCTTTGTCCCGCGGGACGCTCACGGAGCGAGCTGGCTCGAGAGGTGTCGCAGAAAGATGGGGTCTGGGGCTGCGGTGGTGATTTTTCGCGATGTTGCATTTTTTCCACGACGTCGGATCTCAGGGATGTCCGAAGCGCCTGGCCAGGTCCATCCTGGGCCCAGAGCTGTGTATATGCCTTCCTGGCCGTATACACCGCTCCTGGGCCCAGGACGGGCCTGGCCAGAAGCATTGGATGTGGAGAATCTCGCCGCCCTGAGGCGGACCAGCCAGTGGAGGGATCGGTCCTGACTTGACCCCGCGGGTCCACCGTGGCGCTGAGTTGCCAGGGCTCCGCCTTGCGCTGCGCTGGGCCGCGCTGCGCTGGGCTCCGCCGCGCGGGTCCGCGCTGCCCTACGCTGGGATGGGATGTGGCGGGCAGCCCTCGTTTCGAAGCTGTGATTCGGCGCTGCGATGGCCTCTGCTTTGTATATACCAGGCTGGGGGCTCCGAGGGCTCCAGCGGGGGCGGTGTGGGCCAGTGCGGGCTCCCAGACGAGGGGCCAGAGCCAAAGCGCCCGACAGCTCATCACTCGGTGGTTCATCGACGGAATGTTGTCCTTCCCTGCTGGCTGCGCACTGCAAGACTTGCGTTTGACCGAAGACCTGAGGCCCGGCCCTGCTGATGTCATCCGCTTGTGCGAGCTATTGGATCTGTGCGCGCTTGCGTCCCCATGTTGGCTTCAGCTCTTGCACCTTCTCCAGTGGATGGATGAGGAGACCCCGTCTCCCCGCCTCCCACTCGTGAGCGTTTTAGCGTTTTCTTCCCCCCCAGGGTTTCGCTCGTTACCTGGGCCCCCCCCCCTGGGTAACGCTAACGATCGTACTGGGGGGATGGCCTGGACTCTCCCCTACATGGTGTGGCGCACACAGGCGATTGATGCGCCAGAGGCGCGGCCGCACCCTGCGGGTGCGCGCCGAGGCCGCCGTTGCCGCCGTTAGTACCCCGTCCGACCCCCCCTGGGGTGACGACCGTTACCCGGGAAAGAAAACAAATCGGTCACCTCCTCGCTCCCCTCATCGCCTTAGGTCGGGCCTGTCCCCTTACAGGGGGATTTTGGAGGAACAAAATTCAATTACCCCAAAATGTTCCAAACATAGTACCCCGTCCGACCCCCCCCTGGGGTGACGACCGTTACCCGGGAAAGAAAACAAATCGGTCACCTCCTCGCTCCCCTCATCGCCTTAGGTCGGGCCTGTCCCCTTACAGGGGGATGTTGGAGGAGCAAGATTCAATTGGAGGATTGCCCCAGAATATGCCAAACATATTCGGGCTAGTTCCAGAAATCGTAAGCATTTTTTTTTTTTTTTTTTTTTTTTTTTTTTTTTTTTTGACTTTTTGAATCTTCTTGCCCCGACTTAATCCTTGCCCCTCCCTGCCTCCCGCCTCGTCCCGAAGCTGCTCGCTCCTGGCTGCCCGCCCAGCACGGCCCCCCCCCCCCCAGGGGAGAGCGCAGGCAGGCACTCCCCCCGCCCCCCAGGCAGCCGACGTCCTGATTTTTTTTTTCAATGCTCGAATCGGAGATCGGCCACAGAATTGTCGGAGGACACGTCGATCAAGGAATTGGCCGTTTTCGGTTCGCGAGAGGGCGTCGCGGCCGTCATTTTTGCGGGTCCGGGTCCACCTGTTTCGGTCCCAGGCCGTTCCCACCAAGGGGAGGTTTGCGAAAGGGAAGCTTGCCCATGGCCGAACTTGTCATGGCGCCAACATCGCAGAGCGCATCTCGCTCGGAAAACAGCAGGGTGGGCCCGGAGTTAGGGCGACGATATCTATACATATCCACTGCTCCCGGCCAGGCCAATCCTGGGCCCAAGAGCTGTGTATACGCCCTCCTGGCTTGGCCAGGGAGGCATATACACCGCTCCTTGGCCCAGGATGGGCCTGGCCGGGAGCAGTGGATATGCATAGATCTCGTCGCCCTAGGAGTGTCCTGGAGAGTCTCGCTCCGGCTCTCGAGGTGGACTTCGTGCGGATTTTCTTTCTGTTGGCCAGGAGCGCAGACCAAAGCTGACCCGCGCGAGATTCACTTCGCTCTTCGCTCGCCGCTTCGGGCAGACAGCCACGCAGAAGCCCACGCAGAAATCCGCTGCAGCACGTCTGCGAGGCTGGTGCAATGATAAATGATCAACCTCAGAAAATGTTGCGTTGCGAAGCAATACGTACAATGCTCGTAGATCTGCCAACAGTCTACGTGTTTTTTCGCAAACCCGACGGAACAACAGGTGAGCCTGGGGCAAATCAATCATGCAGACGACCGCCTGCTCGAAGTGCGGGACCTCCAGAAGTCCCGACCCTCTGTCCCCAGGGCCTGCGGCTCAGCCAGAACCCTCTTTTGTGACGGGCCTCTGTCGGGCGACGAAATCTATACATATCCACTGCTCCCTGACCATGCCCATCTTGAACCCAGGAGCTGTGTATACGCCCTCCTGGCCAAGCCAGGAGGGCGTGGCGTATACACCGCTGCGGGGTTGAGGATGGGCCTGGCCAGGGAGCAGTGGATATGTATAGATTTCGTCGCCCTACTCTGGGGCCTGGCGAGGGCCCCCAGGAGGCCGACGGCAGCCCATAACCACCTCCCGCCGCGGCTCTCTATCACGACGCGGCAGCGCCTGGGCCCGACACCCTCGGCCACGCGCAGAGGGGGGGTAATGTCGGGGGCGGACAGAACCCCCAACAGTGACACGTCGATTAGTGAATTGTCCGTTTTCGGTTCTCGAGAGGGCGCCGTGGCCGTTATTTTCCAGGCCTGCGCTCGCCAGGTTTGGGCCTCAGGTCGTTTTCACTAAACCACGTTTTACTAAAGGGAGGTCTGTCCATCCCCGATAATGGGGGAGGGGGGAAGGCTGCTCGGAAGCACCCCCTGCTTCTTAGAGGGCGCGGGCCTCGTCCGTGGATGCGGGGCGGGCGCCTTCTGAGGAGCGCCGCCTCGGAAGCCCTCCCCTCCTCCCCCCCCCCCCCCCCGTGCGCACCGCCGTCGCCCGACGCCGGCCCGCCCGGGGGGCAGCCTGGGGCGTGCCTCGTTCGGCGACCGCAGAGGGTGTGTGCTTGCGCCAGGGTGCGTTTCGCGATCTGCGTCGCGGGGGTTCTAGGCAGGGGGGGCACCGCGGTCCTCCTCTTCGGGGCCTCCTCGGGGAGCGGCGTAGAATTGCCCTGGGGTCTTCGCCCGCCCCCCAGGGCGCGGGTTCTGGTTCTGTGCACTGTCCTTGCTCTCTCTTGTTGCCGTGTTCTACTTGGCAACGCACTTCCTGAGCTCGTGGCCCCAGGAGTCGAGCGCTACACACATCCTCGGAGTTGTTTTGCGTCCTTCTACTGTGCACGCCCGTGCTCTGGCACACACGTGCAAGGACTCCACGTTCTGAGCGTGCTCCCCTCCTCTTCCGCGCTCTCCTCCTCCTCTTCCCGCCGCCCGTCGTGCCCCAACTCGGCCAGGTGCATCCCACGTCTGCCTCCGAACGCGGCGAGGATTCGCGCCGCTGCGACCAACAAAAACCAGGGTGCGGGTTGCTAACCTCCGGCTGGACGAAAGGGGGGATAGGGAAGGGGGGGGGTACGAAGTCTGCTGCCTGCCTCTGGTTTCGGCCCCGCCGCAGTGCCGATTCCTCGATGCATGGGCGCCTCCCAGCGCCGGGAGGCGCTGGGAAAATCAGCTGCGTGAGCTGATTCTCCACCCTACCCTTTGCCATCCCCCCCTTTCGTTCCCCCCGAGGGAGAGGAGGGCCCCAGCATTCGGTGGAGGTGTGGCGAAGCGTCCTGGCTTGCCTATGGGCCCATCAGAGAATGTTCTGAGAACCTGCTACGGTTTTGCACGAGATGTTCTCGTAACATTTCTGGCTGGGACTGTCTTGTTTTTGTGCATCGTCTTGATCTTATTACCTTGTTTGGTTCTTGGAACACTTCTTTTGCTCTCCGAGTATTTCGTGGTAGGCCCACAGGAATACCAGGACGGTCGGTTCCTGCTCAACCCTGGGCCTCCCAGATGGGGTCGGAGTAGACGGGGTCGGAGGATCACGCTGGCGTCGGCGATGCATCGGCGATATGCGGCGTGATTTATGATGTTCCAACCTATCTCAGCCTTGATCACCAGAGAGAATTTCGAGCACCAAGAAATATCGAAACTTGAGGGTTTTCATGTGTCGGGCCCTGGGAGGCGACACTCGTTCGACACTGTTTCGACATTTTTCTGGGTGCTCGAAATTATTTCTGGGATGTAGTCCTTAGAAGTACGATGGGAACAACATAAGGCGTGATCCCCCGAACCCATCTACTCGGACGCTATCTAGGAGGCCTCTAAGCACGGCCCGAGGGCGCTCTAGATGGCCTCAAGACGGCCCCGAGAGGTCTCCAAGACGCCCCAGAGGGGGCCCCCGCAGACCCCCAAGAGGGCCAGACGTGCTCGCGCCGTGTGAGAAATCACGACGGGAGGCTTTGCCTTTTCTCCGTCCTCCGGGGGCCCTCGCGGGGCAGCGAAACCGACCTGGGAGGCAGCACCAACCCCGGGGGGCAGGGGGCTGGGCCCTCGGGGGCCCCGCACGCGAGCCCAGGCCGGTGGACGTCCGGGGGGACGGCGGGCGGGGCTCCGTGCGGGCCTAGGCCCAGGACGAGGCGCTCCGGAGCGCTCCGGGACGCTCTCGGATCGAGCGTCCCGGCCCCTGGCCCGGCGGAGTCCACGCCGCCGGGAGCAACCGATGGGGGCGGGCGCGCCCAGGACCGGGACAGATCGCCCCAGGGCGTTCCAGGACGCTCTCGGGTCGTTCCGAAGCGGCCGCGGCGCCTGGTGCATCTTCCAACGCCGCCAGACTTCTCGGAGATCCGTGGTTGGTGCTGGTCCAGGCTTCTGTCTTTGTCCAGGCTTCGTCTTAGGGGGAGGAGGGAGCAGGGAGGGGTGGGCGGTCGCGGTCGTGCAAAGAGAGTGGAGCCCACCCTCAAAACGCCCTCGAGCTGCAGTCGGATTTCCTTTGAGCGAAGCAGTGGGTGTGTTGGGATGACCTGGAGCATGCGGATGATGCGGATGATGATGATGATGATGATGATGATGATGATGATGATGATGATGATGATGATGATGATGATGATGATGATGATGATGATGATGATGACGATGCTGGTGGTGATGATGGTGCTGATGATGATGATGTTGCTACTGCTGCTGCTGATGATGCTGCTGCTGTTGACGATAATGATGATGATGATGATGTTGCTGATGATGATGCTGTTGCTGCTAATGATGATGATTGATGGTTGATGGTGATTGATGATTGATAATTGGTGGTTGGTGATGATGATGATGCAGATGATGCTGATGATGATGGCGATTATGCTGCTGCTGCTGATTATGATGATGCTGCCGCTGATGATTATGATGATGATGATGATGATGATGATTGCGATGGTGATGGTGATGGTGATGATGATGCTGAGGATGATGATGATGCTGATGCTGAAGATGATGATGATGATGATGATGATGATGATGCTGATGCTGATGATGACCATGATGAGGATGATTATGATGATGATTACGATGATTATGATGATGATGATGACGATGATGATGATGATGGTGATGATGATGATGATGATGATGATGATGATGATGATGATGATGATTATGATGCTGATGCTGATGATGATGATAATGAAGAAGAAGGTGATGATGATGACGATGATGATGAAGCTGACGATGCTGATGATGCTGATGATGCTGAGGAGGAGGAGGAGGACGAGGAGGAGTGGTGATGATGATGATGCGCTCGCTGATGATGATGATGATGATGCTGATGATGATGATGATGATGATGATGCTGATGATGATGATGATGATGCTGACGAAGACGCTGATGATGATGATGCTGCTGCTGATGCTGCTGATGATGCTGCTGATGATGATGCTGATGATGCTCATGATGATTATGACGATGCTGATGCTGATGGTGATGATGCTGATGCTGTTGATGATGCTGCTCATGATGATGATGATGCTGCTACTGCTGCTGCT